ATTTTAGACAAGGTCAAATCCAGCAAACAATGTTACATTACAATAATATGTAATGAAGGGTATATATATATATATATATATATATATATATATATATATATATATATACAGAGAGAGAGAGAAAGAGATCACAGTCAAAATTCAAAAGGATTTTGTGTTTTGCTAGGATTAAGAGAACCACCTGCTACAGTAATTATGCCATCAGAAATTATGATACCGAAAATCTTAAAAGGACGAAATCTTGATATCTAAAAAAAATTGAACATTTAGATTTAATATCAATTTTATCCCAAATGTTGATGATATCTTCACTAATTAATATTTTTAAATTTTGAATTTACCGCACAATTACGAGTTTTGAAACAATTGCAATACAGTAATATAAAATCTTAAGATGGAAGTGTTTCTTTTTTGTGTTCTGTACTTTTTGTTCTCGGTAAGTCGCTAGAGAAACAAACACATAAATTGTGATTATTATCCATGAAAGTTTGCAAGGAATAACACTCATTCACACTAATGAAAAAATTATGCAAACTATGCATTTTATTCATGTTTGAGATGGATGAATGATTTATACAATACAAATTGTTTCATGTCTGTTAATAATGAAATTTTCATATAAAGTATTTCATCGGAAATTAAATTCATGAAATTTTCAAAAGTGTTTTATCTTGGAAGGAATTTGATAAAACATTTTAATCCTATAAAAAATTGGAAATTAGGAGGATTTAGATTGCACGTAAATTTTATCTCTCAAAATGATGACATTTGTAACGTCATAAATCAAAAATAAAATTAAATATATAGTACGGTTATGACTTGACAATATTACCCGATGCGTCCAGAAACTTCAGTTTAGTAACACTTGACATACGTTACTCATTATTACAAAATCTTAACATCATAAAAGACTCATTGGCTTTTGATAGTGGATACAAACAGTCAAGAGACGTTAAATATTTAAAAGGCTAATAAAATATATATGTCACAACAGAGAAGAAGGAGGTCTTATTTGTCCCTAAAACAGTCTCGGTAAAATTTAATTATCTTCAAATTTTTCTGTCGGATAGGAGATAACAAAGACGTGCAATTTTGTTTGTAGTTACTCTGTGTCTGGAACTCAGTTTCTGATATTTTATCACTAATGTTATCTCTTGCCAGTAAACATACACAGTATATACACCCTTGTTAAAAAATGCTTGGTTTTTACAGCCTTCTATAACAGTCTTGGCAGGATACCTGTACAGTGTACACTGAATTTATTGATTGGAAGGTGTCACACATTTGAGTCATGATTTGAAGGGGGAAAAAACCTGTTAAGATGAATTTGGTTCATTTAGAAGTTTGCTGCACAGTTAAAAACATGATTTTTAATACCGAGGCAATTGGGAAAAATTGATATGTCCAAGGTCACACCAAGGTAACTCAACTGGGCTAATCCAGTCGTAGGAAAACTAAATCGAGTGAGTGTGGAACAAATCGCATACCGCTATTAGGGTAATGCATTTTTAGGTTGAATAAACCACTTGTTCATTAGAAACCTACCGCAAAACAAAAAACACAAAATCTGGGAGATTCTTGATCTTCTTTATTTCAAAATGAGCAATACCTCAAGTATATATTTAAAGTACACACAACTTGCTTCTGCAGGCTGCACCATTGTCAGTTCTCTTCTGTCAATGTTTGGTGCCTTCTTTATATTGTGGACGTATTAGAGAGTCAGTTCTTTACGGAATTTTCCGCGAACCCTTCTTATATGGCTTACAGTGGCTGATTTATTGGATGCATCATGATATCTATTTGGAACGACTGACTTTGCAGCGAACAGTGGTACGAATAACGATGTATGCCCAAAACATCGCTACAACTTTCTCCTCTATGGCGTCATTTATCTGGACTTTGGTAATAACAGTTCACATGATGATAGCCATTCAATTCCCAAGAGACAAGACAAGGTCGGCCATTTTAAAGGTCTTACACCACGTGATCTGCACATTATTATTTATATTATTTATAACATCGAAAGATGGATGGATGGATGGATGGATGGATGGATGGATGGATGGATGGATGGATGGATGGATGGATGGATGGATGGATGGATGGATGGATGGATGGATGGACATTTCCATATCAGTCCTATGCCTCTATAAATTTTACAATCGATGTCCAGAAGAATAAGTTAAACTGAATGGCGAACGTCTTGGAATTGTATCAGTTTTATAAAAATACTAAACGCTACCTGCTTTACGTTATCCTCCAGGAGTAATTACAATAGTGGCAGGTTTAAAGGAAGTTCTAGGTCGTACCTCTAAAACTAAGACAGCAGTGACAGAAACATGGTGTTGGATTAAAGACGATATTACATATGCAGAGAGAATTAGGTTTATGTTACTTGTAGGAAAGGGTTGGGAAATACTGTGCTTTATATTGTCATTCAGTATTCTTGTCTTGCTGATATATGTGCATTAATGACTGGTTTGAATCTAGATGATAAATAATCCACATAAAATATGGAAAATGGAGTTACATATAGCTTTTAATAAATAGGATAAAGGGGAGAAGGTCTAAATTTCTTTAACAAGACAAATTGTTATAACTATAGTTTTAAGAAAAGTAACTAAAAAGAGATAAAGCCAACGAGTTTTCTAAAATTCAACAAAATATTATTTCCCTAGAACAAAAAGTAAAATTGCAAAACAGATAATTTACGATATTGCGAATTAAATCGCAAATAATCCTACAATTTCTAATATAAGTCATAATAACTAAAATTCTGAACAAATTATAACGATAATCCAAAATAAATCAAACGCTAAAAGTGCTGACTTGCCTGTGATGTCCTGAATTGAAATGATGTGCCAACAGTCACTTGTTGAATCACATAAATATAATTCAAAATATATCCTTATTTGAATTTCATTAACAATCCTAGTCCATCTTTCCAAAAATATTAGTTAAGATTAGCATTCTGTATTTCAGTGAATAAATAATTTGAACAAATAAATTCCAGCCCAAATTAAATATTGGACACAACAGTGAGACATACATGCATGCATGCATGCATGCATAAATACATACATACATACATGCATGCATACATGCATGCATGCATACTACCTACCTACCTACCTACCTACCTACCAACCTACCTACCTACCTACCTACATGCATGCATGCATGCATGCATGAATGCATGCATGCATACATACATACATACATACATACATACATACATACATACATACATACATACATACATACATACATACATACATACATACATACATACATACATACATACATACATACATACATACATACATACATACATACATACATACATACATACATACATACATACATACATACACACATACATTATTTTGTAGTACATTCTAAGCATTTTTGTCCATAGTTCCTTTCTCGAAATCGACTGGAAAAAGATTTTAGGGATGAGGATACCCATTATTTGTATCTGTGGTTGCTTTTGTGGCTCCTCCTAGTTTGGAGCACCATCCGATTTATATTAGTATGGTTGAAGTATACAAATAATTTCGAATCCCTGACAAGTCCTCAAAGCATCGTGAACCCTTCGCTGATATTTCTTCAAAGCATCGAAGAGAGTGCACAGGTTTATGGCAATTGTGTTCTTTTCTGCTTTTTGGATAGAGTGGTTGTGGGATATATAGAATATACATGTATTTCTTGTAAATGTGAGAAAGTCGAGCATGAAAGACTTATTCCTACTTCAGAAGGATGAGCAAAGAACGACAGGCTAGGATCTTACAGTGCAGTTTACAAGTTTAATGACGGCAAATTAATGGAGAGAACTAAATAAAAAATGTGTATAGTCAAACCTGAGATCATAGTATTATTATGTTATAAAGCTTGATAGTCAAACCCTTGTATACGATATTATTGGTTATCATGTAACGTACTCTTGTATACAATAACCAACTGTTATTACAATTCGGACTAATCAGAGGCGAAACTAACGTGGTAGCAGGTACAGCCAATAAAAAAAATAAAGTAATAATAACAATAATAACGAGGACTTCATATAGCGCCTAATCTTTAGAAGCTCTAGGCACTTTACAAAAAGTTATATAATGATATGATTACAAAAATGAAAACAATCACCACCAAATTAGAAACAGAAAAACATGCTGTATATGTTTAAGGTAAGGATACGTTATAAGGATACATTATTAGGTCTTTATGCCTGCTCGGGCAGTTGAAATAGATGAGTTTTGTGATAGATAGTTGGGGGAAAGGTTACATAAAGCTATGACAATGTCTTGTTTCCATTCGGTGGAAATACCCTGACAGACAATTCTTACAAAGTCCCTTTAAAACAATTACACAAAATATGCCTTTGAAAATATCGAGAGGTACTATTGTTGGGAATTTTACAATAAATTATAGACCCTAAAAGATTGAAACTCTCTTTTTTGGTATAATATATAGATTATCTGAATTTAACATTATGGATGTCACTATAGACAGAGTTTAGTCATTACGGCAATTCTTATGGGTTTAGCTGTTTACTGGAATTTAACATGAAACCGTTGTTGCCTTCAGTGGGGTTTTAACCTACTGTGGTACTGTGTAGCCTGCTATGACACTGTAACATTAGGATAAGTATATCCCTCTAACTCTGACTGAGAACATTTGTTATGACGGACTAAAGCCTCTTTCGACTGAACATTGAATATTGGGACTAAGGAACTCTTCTGTGACTTATTCATTGTTGTTGTAGTAGGGTTTAATGCCATTTGTCAGCACAAGACATGCTATACATGGCGGCCAGTATTAATGGTGGAGGAAGAACCCTGGAAAACTTAGAAAAGAACCACAGACCCACGATAAGCTACTGGTAGGCTTTCTCACTTACCCACGTTAGCCGAGTCTGGACTCGAACTCACGCAGACTGAGGTGAGAATGCAGTGATTTGTAACGGTCAGCGCTTTAGACCACTCGATCTCTTGGGGGCCCCTGACTCATTCGCTCCGGTGGTCTAGTGGTTAGAGCATCCGCATCGGATGCGGAAGATCGTAAGTTTGATCCCTGGCCGAGTCAAACCAAAGACATGCAAGAAAGTACTAACAGCTGCCTCGCTTGACGCTCAGCATTAAGAAGTTAGTGTTAGGACTGGTTGGCCTGGTGTCAGGATAATGTGACTGGGTGGGACATCATACATGTCTTCGGCATGATGTTTCAGTGCTAGACATCACTATAAACTGCCACACTACAGACATCGCAGGATTTGACTGACAAATTGTTAAATCCCTTTAAGAATCATAATCAAATCACATCACATACTTCAGTGACTGACCAAACTCTGTTCTGAATTATCAAAATCATTGTAACTAAGCAATCACAGAACCCAAAAATTTTGTTTTGTTGCGTCATCTAACGCGTTTAATGCTGTTTAGAAGCTACTGTTGAAAGTACTTTAAAACTGACACTCAAAAATGAACACGATATAATCTCTCTCTTTCTCTCTCTCTCTCTCTCTCTCTCTCTCTCTCTCTCTCTCTCTCTCTCTCTCTCTCTCTCTCTCTATCTCTCACTCACTCTCTCTCTCTCTCTCTCTCTCTCTCTCTCACACACACACATACATACATATTTAATTTTTGAAGACAAATAAATTGTATATGATCAGCTTTATGCTATACGAATCTCATTCGCATCACGCAGTTATATCAATGATGTTACAGATCTTACCTCTAACAGGGATATGCACTATGAACTGTCACACTGCAGACATCGTCGCGATATGACTGAACAATTGTTGAAGCTAGATTACACACACACACACACACACACACACACACACACACACACACACAGAGGAATGTGTCTAAGGGATAAATTTATATCATCTAGCTCATTGGAAACCAGACAAAGAAACATATGAACACAGCAAGAAAACACTATATCCAAAATTACTTTTGAGAAATGAAAAGATAGTCTAGATCAATAGAAAACATTTCTCCCAGCAATTAAATTAACCTCTTGCCTAAATGTTTGTTTCTGTGAGAAAAACGGACGGTTGGGAGCAAGATCTAGCAACTCTTGACTGTATAAGGCACAATATGTAATGTTGTCTCAAGATAAAGGCCTCGAAACAGAAAAGTCCATTAAATTCACCGTGCACTTACTGTTAATGAATGGAATTAAAGGCAAAGAGTGCATTAGAACCTCTTTCACGTAAGACGAAAATAAATAGTCTTCGGGTACAATGGTTCATTAACCACTCGAATCGGGCAGTAAACAACTTAGACTACCCTGGAAAGATAGTTGGGTATAGTGGCATAAATCAAGCCAGTGACTGAAGTTTGGTGAGATAACACTCCACGTGACCTATACAGGCGAAAAGCATCTTAAGTAAAACTTGATTGTGATTATATGACCACACAGAGATAAATTTTGAGACCATAAGTATATAATACTTGCAATAAACGATTTATCTGAGAACAAAAAATACCTATAATTATCGCCAAAAGAATAGAAAAACGAAATCTCCTAACTTCAGTTCATAAAGAGGGCTTAAAACAGTACAAGAATGACTTATTATCAAAAGTAAGTTAGCAAGTGTACTTGGCCACCTTATTTACAGTCTTTAACAAAAAGATGACGGTCATAAAACAAAAACCTCCGTTATCAAAGCAACAGTGTGTGCCAAGGGTATAATTGGTGTACCAACCCAAGCAATATTGCAGGTAAATGACCATACAAATGTCGTCTGACTCATCCAAAATGATACAATTTTTGGACCATGATCAATATAGAAATATCACTCATATAGTGTTGCTGTTAGTAGCGCAAGACAAATTTATGCCCGTCTAAATTAAACGAGAGTGCTACTTCCGTCAACAAATTATTTCGTTTAGGGATGGACATTTTAATTTTCAGCCGCCATATTCTTTCTGGGACTTGTAAAAGAAAATATCCTTAGGTAAAAGCAACGAAAACAAAACAAAACAAAACAAAACCTTTATTCTGGCTGAAAAAAAAACTGACTCCAAAAATGGCTGCCCTTTACTTCCCCCGTTATTGCAAAGCCAACTCACGTGAGGATACCAGACTGTGCCCCCCGTCCAGATCGGTGATGACTCTTCCATGCATCTCTTTAGGGATATTGTTGCCAAAACTTACAATTTCAATATAATTTAGAGGTCAGTACACATACTGTAAAACCGTATCTTTAGATGGAGTGCGCTGTGCATATCCGTGAAGTTACGGACTGATCCATGATGATTTGCTTGTAAGAAAATATTTTCACTGTATTTTCAACCAATCACTTATCTCTCATTTCATTATTTGGGATATACCCTTGTTTTTTTTTCCTATTGTTGTTGCTGAGGGTGGGTTAGTTGAGCTTCTACTTTTCTATCTTTATTAGTGCAATGTATATTTAATTTTCAGTCTATTGGTTTTAAATGATTTTTGTATACCATAACCTGTTATTGTAATGTAACAATCAATGATTGCTTCACTTGACCCTGTGTCACGGTCTACCTAGGTGGACGGATGTTTATCCAACTGACACTAATCCGGTGTTTGATCTGTGGACAATCGTTGCGAGCAAGAAGACAAGCCAGACGTAGTCGCCAAAAAGTTCTTTGTGCAGAACAGGGCATGGTAAATTACTCATGGGTGCTAATCCTTTAGTAGGACATCAAAAGAGCCATTTGTAATAAAATGATAAGGAACTTATATTCACAGTTCCGCTGATTTACAACTTGGGAATGGTTAGTCCACCGCATCCAATCAGAATTAAGCTAGTTGGTGGGCATACCTCAAAGTTTCGAGGATATTAAACTGACTCCATCCAAAAATTATTTAGTAGACCGAGGTAGATTACTAGGTGATTGCACGATTAAAGGCTACTCCGAGATACGCACTCGTAAATTTGGCGTGAATCGCAGGGAAAAGATTGGAACAAAGGAAGCTTCAGAAGGAAGCTTTCCGGTTGGGTTAACTTCATTGAGAAGGAGAGTCCCGAGAGTCTGAGAGAGAAGACTGAAGTAAGACTGTCGGTACAGTCAGGGTCGACGGATTGGAGTCGACGGTTCGACGAGGAAGTCGACGAAAAGGGAAGTTGAGGTGGAGAGGAAATTCGAAGGAGCAAAGGAGGAGTAGAAGTGGAGAGGAAAATTGAAGGAGTAAAGGAGGAGTGCAGGAGAAATTTAGAGAGACAGATGAGCAGAACCAAGGACAGGGCGAAATTCTCACACTGATTCAGATGATGAAATAGGCACAAAAGGGTCGAGCGATTGGGAAGCTCGCATGTTGAAATTTTATTATTAATTAAATTGTTTTACTTAATTCCACCCTTTTGTACTTTTGTATTCAACTGTTTAATTTCCTCCTTTAGTACTTTTGGATTTAATTGTCGGCATTGCTGACTGGGGGCTCAGAACCATATTCACCTACTTAACTTCTGAACCATAATCGAGCCTGGGTGGGTGCCATACCTAAATAAATATTTGAAACACCCCATCCCATTTTCATATAACCAAAACCATACACAGATATAAAAATAATTAATTAAACCTCATAACACTCTAGGGTATAATAAAAAACCTACCGTAACACTGGGCGCTCGGTCCGGAATTTGAATTAGACTTAAAGTATTATTTATTAGGAAGTAGTAGGGGAAGTTGTGAGATTTTCTATCCTGTTATTTTAATTTTATGATTTTGAAATTGTGTATGTTATATTTTGATATTTGCATGTGTGGTATATTACATTTACTTGCAGTAATTGTGAGGCAGATATCGAGCGAAATATCTTACCCGACCCAAGTTAGTCCTTCTCAACAGGTGAGTATTTGTTTAGTGAGTCGACACAAGGTATTAGTATAATCATAAAATGACTACGGAAAGGCAGATGGTGAAAGAGTATCGCGCCATGGGCAAGGACGATCTATGTTACGAGGGAGATCGCTTGGCAACATTCATTGAGGAGAGAATCAAAGAATGGAAGGCAGAAAAAGCATCTGAAAGAGAGAGTCGCAGACGGAGTTGGCCAGGATAGCAGCTGAAAGAGAGAAAGAGCTGGAGTTGGCCAGGATATCAGCGGATAGAGAGTCCCAGACGGAGCTGGCCAAGCTATCCCACGCCGCGAGAGAAAGAGAGCTCGCCCACGCTCTCGAAATGGAAAAGTTAAGGGTAGAAGCGAGATCAGCCGATAGGGAGAACTCTGGAGTGAGCGTGCGACCGATTGTCGACAAACGAATGGTACAGATAAGTATGCCGCGTTTCAACGACAAGGAAGAGTCAATTGACGACTTCCTTGTGTAATTTGAGAAACTCGCGTGCGTTCATAAAATTCCCGAGCAACATTGGACGATTAATGTCTTAGCCTTTTTGCAGGGTGCCGCTCTCGATGTTTACCATAACTTATCCGCAGAAGAGGTCGACGACTATAACGCACTGAAGTTAGACCTTCTTTGCCATTATCGGTTAACCGCCGAAACGTACCGTAAACTTTTTCGGGAGTCGACGAAAACTCACTCTCATTTCCACACTCGTGTTCGAGTATTATTTAAGAAGTGGATGAAGATGGCGGAAGTCGAACGATCGTACGATGGGTTACGCGAAGTTATACTCAAGGAGCATGTCCTGAGTACTTACCGTCGCGAGTTGACAGTCCTCCTAGCGGAAAGAGAGCATAGGACTCTCGAAGAGATCGCTAGTATGGCGGAGAGATACAAGCAGGCGCACTCGAAGAGTGGGAGTTCCGGGGGTACTGACCGACCCCAACCCACTGAGTCGCGTCGGGTGGTTGAGGGAGAACCGACTGTCCGTAACCATCAGAGCGACGGGAATGTCGGAGGTGAATCTACAGGTAAGGATGCCACCCATAGACCTGGACAGGCCTCAACTACTGGTCTTGCAGGACGACGAGAGTCGCCGTTGTGTTACAACTGCAAGCGCCCTGGGCATTTTGCAAAAGACTGTCCCAAGGGCAGGCAGACCCAGGTGAATGCCGTTGCTCGAATGAAGTGCGAGACGGAGGCCAGCTGTGCCCCAGCGAACCTCGCGTCTGCAACTGTCAACGGAGAAGGT